CCAATTTACTTTGAGAAAATTCTAATTACTTTATATTTTTATTTCCCACTTTTTATTTTATCTTCCACTTCCCTGTGGTTAACTATATTCATTGCCTCTCATTTAAGATTTTTGGATCTTATTTCTTCTCTATATTTCTTATTTCTACTACGTTTTGATTGTTTATTTCACTATATTCCATCATCTGCTTTCCTCAGTCTCCGGCCAACTCCGTGTAACTGTGGGAAAAGCAAAACTTTTACTATCTGAGAAATTCGTCCAATTCCGTAGTCTATGTGCCCAAAACCTCGTTCATCTAGCTTCTCTTCGATCTGGCAAGCCAACCACAGACCTCCCTCAACAGCAATTAGTAACTCTGGCCAGTGACCTGGAGGGCTTCTGGGCACTGGTCCTGCTGCAAGTAGAAGACATAGAAGCCATGTTCGCCGAGGTCGACCGGCTTCGCCAAAATAGGTGGGTTCCCCCAAAAAACGACAGCATCCTGGTGACCAAGACGAACGGAACAATTGTAGCTAAGACAAGTTTACCGTCTCCTAGGAGTGTAAGTCTTAAATATTTCTTTACACAAATGCTTCTTTAATTTTCATGTATTACTAAGAAAATTGAGGTAATACACATTTTTAATGAGAGTAGTGCCATTCGATAATTTCACCACCTTTTGTCTATGCTTGTGAATGGCTATCTTCATCCCATTATACCTGTATATACACATTTTCATCAGTTTCTTTCTCAGTCTTTAATTTGATATCGCCTATGCAGAGTTATAAATTCATTGTAAGGGGCAATCTAAGGTTATGAAATTAACATTTATATTTTCCAGCCCACCTCGCTACTATGTTCACTATACTTTCAATGCTTTCCAGCTTGCTGTTTCCATTGCACTGAATTTAATAGCCGCGATAGATCTATTTATTTCCTTAGGGCGATTTAAAAAAATGGTGCCATGATATAAGACACGATTTATTTGCAATGCGTTTGTGACCCCGTGCCTAAATCACTTTGGGCCTTGCTAGCACTAGGAAAATAAGTTTGCTTGATTTCGGCATTGAATCACGAAACGTTTCCACTCCGAAAGGAAAAATAAAGAAATTTGTAAAAGGTCAAGAATCTATAGGCACATAATTTTTGAAATCATAAGTCTGAAAGTCATATTAAATGATACAAAATGTGGGTAGTGGATTACTAGGAAGTGTTGGTACATTTATTTATTTGTTTGCAGGTCTGATTTACATTAGGCGAAACTCTATATCTTTTATTTCGTCAAGCCTCTAACCTTCGTAATCACTTTCGTTATTTTCTAGTAGCTATTGTAGTTTTTAAGTTAGATCGGAGGAGGGGAGGAATATACACTTTTGTGCATCTTGCTTCAACCCATTTTTATCTTTATATTCCTCATCATGTCATCTATTTTAACGGCTTGTATATTTCATATAATTTTTTATCGCATTTCGGTAGCCCATATTATCAAGTCAATTAGCCGTGTTTTAGTCGCCCTCAAGATCTCTTCCACTTCCAGTATATCTTCCTCTCGGTTTACATCAAAACATGCTTCTTTTCAGTTTAAGCTTTGTTATCCTTTAAAAAAGTTCATGAATTCTTCTTGTGCTTGATAATCAATTGTTTGCCTGCTGGAGCTTCAAGAATATACTTTTTGCCAATTAGTGATTTGCTTCGTCCTCTTTGACTATCAGCCACAGCAGTTCCCCTTTGTGTATCTTCGGTAATCCGTGAACTGTTGATGACCTCTTTTTTTACAAAATTCATCCAAAATCTTTTGTATGAATTTATTTGTGTCTGTTTCGTAATGTTCCATTAA